CCCCCCTCCCCTCTAGAACCCCTAGTTTGTTTTTCAGAGTCCATTGTCTCTCATGGTTATTCTATTCTGTTTTGATCACTGTAGCTTTGCAGTAAGTTTTGAAATAGGGCTGTATCGAGTCACAGTCAAGGAGTTGAACTCCTACAAATATAATTCCAGTGGGAGGTAGAAATAATTCCAAGCATCAAAGTGATAATTGATGAATATAATTTGCGCAGAGCAGGATTGCCCACTTTTATCTAATTTCTCTGGGTGCCAGCCCTCTGTTCCACTACGATGGAAAAAAATTTTTTTTTCTTGTAAAATTGGCTGAAATGTGCGTACCCTTTGTTGTATTTCTTTCCCTCAGTGCAGTGTCACTTGTGGACAAGGATACCAGCTAAGAGCAGTGAAATGCATCCTTGGGACTTATATGTCCGTGGTAGATGACAATGACTGCAATGCAGCAACTAGACCCACTGATACCCAGGTGAGTCTCTTTTGTCCAGCTCAGTGCTTGGCTTTGGGCACTAAAATGCTAGAACTTCCCAGTGGTTCAGTCACAACTGAAGTCCTTTCATACGTAAGTATGTAGGTAGAGCAACCAGTTGATTAACTGAATTGTCCAGATGGACCTATTTGTTACATCTTGAATCTAATATTTTGATGTACTGGTTTCATTTTTCTCTGGTTATTTGAAGTGTATGGAGTTTTGATTCTGATTTTTTTTTTTTATTGGATAGCAAATGTTGATTGTTTGGTTTTGTTTTCTTGAACTCAGACTTTTTTAAAATGATTTCAATGTCGGGCTTAGCAGATAGTGTCATATGATCGGGCAGCAGGGTGCTGGGGCTGGTCTGCTCCAGCTCACAAGAGCTGATTGGTAAATTTTCAGGAATTTTGCAAGCTGGTTGCTAAATACAGGCCTTATTAAAAATTGAAAATATAAACCTATGATTAAATAGATGGTATTTAAAACAAAGCCGATAAATACTCCAACCTTATCACTTTCTCGATGCTTTCCTCCATTTTACTATTATCTGTGATCTTGAGGTGATTTACATTCACATATGTATCTGTAAGGTGGAAATACTAAATGATGGTGAGCTATTGCACATCTCTTCGCAAGTCTGTGTTCATCAACATCATGTTGGTAGCTTGATATTGGCTGTGGTGAGAGTATTTAACACAACAGAAATCAGCAAGTGCTATAATTCAGGGTTTAAATTATTTTTTTTAGACTTAAGAAAGTGATGGAGAAAATGATAATAAAATGAAATTACACATAATCTACATTATGCTTAAAAGAGTCTCGAGTCCAGGGCTATCACATTGTAAATAACGCATAAAATTAAGGAAATATCCTTCCGGCATTTGGAAATCATTGTCTGCTTTGGTGCTGGAGTCACTCATTTCATTGGTAGATGAATGGAGTTCTGACATAGATCTTGATTGTTTACCTGTCACCTTAACTCTTCAACACAAAATATCAACTCTCATTCATGTTATAACTGCACTTACTCAGCAATTACGACCATATTTTGGCAACAGATTCAAGAATTCAAAAAAATCAGCAAAAGTATTCCGTGAGACTCAATTGACTGTACGGAATTTAAAAGAAGGAACTGTATATATTATTGTTATATGTAAATTGTGTGCTATACATCCTTTATATTAGTAAAATTTATGATATGCAAACATCTATATATATATAGATATACATGCGCATGTAATGTGTGTGTGTGTGTGTGTATAAATACATTTCTACAAACACACACGTACACCTTTTTTCTCAAGAGAGCCCGTTGGCAATCACTACCATCACCTTCCTCTTCGTGGGCCTGGATTTTAGCATCATTTATGGGAAGAGACTATGAAAAGAGAAGACTTGGGTTTGTAAATCAGTTTTGCTGATTGCCAAAGACAGGATTTGAACCCTGACTATGCGCAGAGCTCGTGCTCTAGGGCCCTGTCGGGCCAATGTCCTGCTTCCGTTCTGAGTACATTTCCACATGTGTTGTTAACTGATGAAGAGTGTCAAAAAGTAAATGAATACAGCATTGTTGTCCTTGTTGTCATTGATCAATGATAAAACACTTGTGACTTGTGTCATCTTTTTTTTTTATGTTACTGAAATGTTCTAAACCACAAGCTAAATGCCTGTGAAATTATTAGCTATTACATCTAAACAGTCATGAGGTGAAGATTTAGCAACTCCCTTAGAGATTCAAAATATACATTTCTCTCTAAATTGTTCCGTAATATCTGATGGAGTATCGGGCAGCTCCCGCAGTTGAAGCATATGGACAATTTCTTCACTATGGGAAAAGTTTCCTGTGGTTTTCTTTGGACCATAGGCAGAAGAATAGGCAGGGTCTGGAGCCAAGTAATAGAATTCCCCCGTTCAGTGTGTAAGCTCCCTAATGTCGGGCTCAGCACAGAGCTCACCACACTTTGCATCATCCCTGGCACATCTCAGGCATTTGACGGATATGTATTTAATCAAAGAATATTTGCTAAGTTGTGAGCAAGTGTGCATTTCTGTTTTCCCATCTATAAATCTGAAAATGTTATCTACACACAGATAACCTCAGTTTACTTACAGGGCTTTCCTCTGAGTGATTGAGGAGGGTTAGATACATTCCAGGCATTGGCATATCAAATACCCCTCTTAGATCTAGATTTGACCATCAGCACCGTGGGAGTTCTCCTTAGGTAAACTTGGAACACCAGTTCATGATTAACAAATTCTGATTAGGAAATTAATTGAAATGTGAGAACAGAATTTGGTCTTCAGAGTTTTTAAAAATTGACAGTTGATCATTTAAAAAAGATATCCTGTTCCTTTCCAACTTATGTGCCATTTTCCAATATTTTTTTTCTCTTCCCACATGAACAGGCAAATAACTATGGTATTAAACATCATTCAGGAAAGCCCTGCCCTCTATCAGTGCACTCACAGAGGGACTCAGATTATACCCCATCTTATCGGTGAAAGCATTGGGGCTGACAGTTGACATGTGATTTGCCCAGAATCACACAGAAATCTGAGGTCTTGGAATTCTTAGCCCTAAAATTTTTATTCGCCTTGCCCATTGAAGTGTGCATGGACTTCAAAGTAACTTTGGCTCTTCTGCCCTCTCTCCCATCTAGGACTGCGAATTACCATCTTGTCACCCTCCCCCAGCTGTCCCGGAAGCAAGGAGAAGCACACACAGTGCCCCAAGAACCCAGTGGCGATTTGGGTCTTGGACACCAGTAAGAAATAGATGGAAGACATAGAGAGGGTGGAAGGGGAGGCAGGGGTTCTCTGACATGACTATAGAAAGTGGGTTACTGTCCAGTGAATCATTGTTTCAAAATAACATGCCTGCATTATTTTACTTCAACACCCAGTGCTCAGCCACCTGTGGAAAAGGTACTCGGATGAGATATGTCAGCTGCCGGGATGAGGATGGCTCTGTGGCTGACGAGAGCGCCTGTGTAACCCTGCCCAGACCAGTGGCAAAGGAAGAATGTTCTGTGACCCCCTGTGGGCAGTGGAAGGCTTTGGACTGGAGCCCTGTAAGCGAGTGGATTCTTTGGAATTGGGAAATGACTGGGGGGACCATAAGAGGATGACTAGTGACGGGTCCCAAATGTCAATGGATATTATTTTACAATGGGTACTGTTAAATCACTTAGTCTGTGATTTAAATCATTTAACCTCATATATGTACAGCCGGGATGAATCTTAACCAGATGTGCAAGAAATGGATGTTGTTAAAATGTGTAAATCAGTGTGCAGTGTCCTTTGCCCCATCCTGTTGGATTGACTGGAAAACCTTGTGTTAATTGAGTCACACGAGAATGTAATAGGCTGGCAGAGTACCAAAAGTACCAGGGAGAAGAGGAGAGAAAGGAGAGGACCTCTTACCTGGAGTCTGGATGCCTCCTATAACCTCAGTCTCTTGAAGTCCAGTGGCTCTTGGCTTCCCTGTCCAGAGTGGGAAGGTAGAAAAATCTTTCTTGGAGCACCTGGGTGGCTCAGTCAGTTAAGCATCTAACTCTTGATTTCCACTCAGGTCATGATCTCAGGGTCGTGGCGTGGAGCCCTGCATGGGGCTCTGCACTCAGCGTGGAGTCTGCTTGCCCCTCTCCTTCTGCTCCTCTTCATGCTCCAGCTCTCCCTCTCTCTCTCTCTCTCTCTCAAATAAATAAACAAATAAATAAAATCTAAAAAAAAAAAAAGAAAAAAGAAAAACCTTTGTCTTCAGGCAGTCCCTGCTTTCTGCCTTGCAAAAATCCCAGAGCCCAGGAAATACAAAGCTTAGGATAGGTGAGAAGAGGCCATAAGGAAAATAGAGAATTAATATCTCAATAAATATCATAACATATGTATGAAGTTTGACCAGTAGATTCAAAGAAAGCCATGTAAAAATCCAGATCTTGACATTTACTGGCTGCATGACCTTGAGCAGTCTGGTTAAAGTCTTTGAGCCTCAGTTTCTCCTCTTAAAAGACCAAAGAAGAATACCTACCTTACAAAATTGTTTTAAGTATTATTTGAGATTACTTATGCGAAATGCTTAGTACAAAGTAGGTGCTCAATAAATGGTAGATAGTCTCACTCTCATGCCTTGAGCTTTCAGTCTGTCTATCCATCCGTCCATCCGTCCATCCATCCATTAAATACATCTGTCTGTGCCCCAGATATTTGTAAACGCTTAGTATAGAAAAAGCAGCGAACAGCAAATAATAAAGCCCCGGCCTTCATGGAGATCATTCCAATGGAGGTTCCAATCAATGAACAAATAAAGAAATAGATATATATAGCAACAAACACTGACAAGTACTAGAAAAATGTCAAGCAGAATAAGGGCATAAGGAAAGATGGGATGTGCTTTTAGACAGGATGGTCAAAGAAGGCCTAACAGCACATTGAGCAAGACTTGAATAAAGTGAGGGAGTGAGTCCAGTGGACATCTATGTTGTACAGGAAAAGGTAGAGCAGGTGCAAAGATCCTGAGTGGGGAGTTCTTGGCATGTTCAAGAAACATCCCTAAGACCAGTTTAGCTGGAGTGCAGTGAGTGGAGAATGACGGGAGATGGGTCAAGGAGGTAGCCAGTGGCCATGCAGAGGGCCTTCCAGGCCAAGATGAGGACTTTGGACATTATTCAAAGTGAATTGGGAAGTCACTGGAGAGAATGGCCTGATCTTTGATTTGCAGGGGTCATGGTTTGTGATATGTTAACAGACTTGGGCTGGGGTGGAGGGTGTCCAGATTGTAAGCAGCATCCCAGCCAAAGAAACCATTGCCGTAGTCCTGGCTGGGGCAGGGTGACCATGGAGATGATGGGAAGTGGCTGGTTTGGGGGTGGAAAGTGACTCCTGAGCTGACAGGTTTCTCAATGAAATGGCTGCAGGGTGGAAAGACAAGGGAGCAAACAAGGATGACGCCAAGGTTTGGGGCCTGAGCAGTGGGGTGAGCAGAGGGCCATTCACAGAAAATGCACATGGCTGGATTTGTGACTGCCAGTGACCAATCCTTTCTCTTTCTGGATGTTCAACATAGTGCTCCGTGACGTGTGGGCAAGGCAGGGCCACCCGGCAAATGGTATGTGTCAACTACAATGACCACGTGATTGATCAGAGTGAGTGTGACCCAGATTACATCCCAGAAACCGACCAGGACTGTTCCATGTCACCGTGCCCTCAGCGGACCCCAGAGAGTGGTCTCGCTCAGCACCCCTTCCAAAGTGAGGATTACCGCCCCCGGAGCGCCGGCCCCAGCCGCACCCATGTGCTTGGTGGAAACCAGTGGAGGACTGGCCCCTGGGGAGCAGTGAGTATTCCCTGAAGGCTTTCTCTACTTTGCTTTCTTCTCTTACACACTTTCAGCTTTGGGAGGCAAACAGATTAGAAACACCTCTGAAGCCTTTTTTCTCGAAAGGGATTGGCAATGTACATTTTCATCTGTTTTGGGTGAACCATAATGGATTCGTTACAGTCCCTGAAAAGTGTCCCTCGATAGCGTCTGCAGGAACCTATAAGCTACCCTACCTGGGTGGTGGGGGGGGGGTGTCACAGGTGGGCCACAAGATCAAGTGGCTCCTAGGTGGTGCTGGGAAGACCATGATAACATGATGATGAATCCCAGAGGCTGGGGCGGCAGGCAGCTCCTACCTGTAAGGAAATTAAAAGGACAGAGGAAGTTTTCTGAAAGGGAGCTCTTAGGAAAGTCATTTTCCTTCTTGCTATTTTCCCGATGAGCAGAGTCTCAAAGTGGCACGGTCACTGTGTAATTTGTAGTAGTAGTATATTGTCCTGGATTGGGGGGCCACACTAGTCTAGATAATTCTGTGCTTGGGGAGAAGTACCAGAACCTGGTGACTGACAGCACAGCCACTGAGTGAAGATGCCTCTGTTTGAGCCAAAGACTTGCATTTTCAAATTTTGAGGTCTTTAGTGGGTCCCCTATTCTCCACGGGCCTCAGGTTCATTGTCTGTAAAACAAAGTAAACAATAATTCCAGCTTTTCTGGATTGTAGTAAATGTGATTTGCACACTGCCTGCCCCAGAGTGAGAACTTTCTCATTATTCTTATCATTGTCCTTCACATTAGGAAGACCTTGAAAGATACTTAATAGTCACAGGGAAAATATGCTTTGAATCTTTTTGGGTTTTTTACTGAATAATTTCCCCAAAATCATTATATTGTGGAATAGTGGAGGTGTCTAATGGAAGTGCAGGTGGGGTAAGGTAGCAAGGGACCCTGCCTAGGTGTGGGGGATTAGGTGTCTAGTAATCACTCCGGGGTCTTTGTTTTAATTGTTTACTATTAGTTTCCTTCTTGTACCACTAATTGTGTTTAATTATTTCTGAACTAAAAAACATTAGAAGGAAACTGTCTGCTTCCCACCGTGGTTATGTTTCAGTAAATGAGATTTCCTATCCTGTGAATACTGATTAGCCACCGAGCATTTTCACCCACTACAAGTATGGGTTGTATGCCAAACATCTGCCCCATTGCCCAGGACCTTCGTTCTCATTCTCCTTCCTTGCTCTCCACTTTAAGGCTTCCTTTGCCTGGGTTAAAAGAGATTTGGGTTCGGAGAAGTTAGAGGGTGATCAAGGGAGGTAATCACTGAGTGTCCCACAATTTTTCTGGTTGAAAAATTTCAAAACTCACATGCATATTCTAACGATAGCACTAGAACTCTTTTAAAAAAAATTTTAAAGCTATTCTTACTTAGGACTACATTTGAGATGATGCATTCTTTTAAAATTGAATGATTCTGCCCTTGGGCAGTGTTCCCAATTAGGGAGGATTAAGTAACCTTTTTGCAGCACTGGGCAATACCATTCTTTGCCTCATTGTGCCTGTTTTTTGTTTGGGGATTTTTTTTTTTTTTTTCCCTAAGATAAGTGAGGCTGAAGATGGACAATGTGATTTTTTTCAGCGCTAGCTTGATGTGCCTGACCTGCTCCCGGAGTGTGTGGAATGTATGTGCATCTTTGCTTGGTGAAGTACACAAACTGTGTGATTCTTCCTGTTTTCCATGGCAGGAAAGGCGTCAAAGAATCAGGAACACTGGAGGTTGGGAATCTCATGTTTTCAGTGGATTCTGGCATAAAAACCTCATTTTATAGTACATTTCTGCATAAACCTGAACCATGTGTGAGGTTTTCCCCCTTGTTACCAATTAGGAGTCTCTGGTTGTGAACAAAAGAAAAACAGCTGACTCTTTCAAGTGAAAATAAAACAAACAAACAAAACTTTTCATTTGGCCCCAGTAGAGACAGAGGGCAGAGCATCTTCAGGGATCTAGCTCAGCGGTTTTTTGTAAAGGACCAGATAGTAAGTATTTTCTGTGATGTGGATCATATAGTCTCTGTCACAACTAAGCAGCTCTGCTGTTGTAGCACAAAAGCAGGTGTAGACAATACATAAATGAGTGAGCATGGCTACGTTCCAATAAAACTTTATTTGTAAAACAGGTAGTGGGTCATATTTGGCCTTCATGCTGTGTCTTGTCAACCCCTCTCTAGATGGAGCAGAAATTAGAGGATAATTACTGTAGGGAGTTTCTATCTTAATAAATCCCTTTTAACTCTCATCTACCCTGCTCAGGATTCAAATTCTCAGGAGAGTCTCATAGACCCAGCTTGTTCTACCTGCCCACTCATTGACCAGGAAAGGGCAGTGTATTTTATCTTATTTTTTTTTTATTTTATTATGTTATGTTAGTCAACATACAGTGCATCATTGGTTTTTGATGTAGTCCCACAAGATGACATCCATTGGGGAAGAAATGGTTCCTTTAAGGAGAATTGGGCTTCCAGATATGAGGGGAAGTATGCTAGGCAGATAAGAAAAACAGATGTCCCTCACCTCTTGCTCCTGCAAAGACCATTCTTTCTTATTTTGGCCAGTGTGGATGATGGGTGCAGGTTTTATTCAAAGAAATGTTTACCTAGGGAAATATGTCATCTTAAAAGGACAGGAAGATTGCAGCAGGGTGCCTGGGTGACTCAGTCAGTTAAGCGTCTGACTCTTGGTTTTGGCTCAGGTCATGATCTCTTGGTGGTGGGATCGAGCCCCACATCGGGCTCTGTGCTCAGTGCAGAGTCTGCTTCAGCTTCTGTCTCCCTCTCCCTCACTTTCTCCCTCTCTCTCAAATAAATAAATAAAATCTTTTAAAAAAATGACAGGCAGATTATTAACAAAAGAAGTTGAGAGTGAAATTCTGTGACATGGAATAGAACTAAGAATCCCTACTAACTAAAAAAAAAAAAAAAAAAAAAAAAAGGCCAAATTGAACCTGGAAAAAATTATGTACAACACTTTATTCATCTATGGGATTATAAAGACCCAAAGAGGCCCTGGGTTCAGATAGTTCAAGACTGTGCAATGTACTTGCTTGGCCCCAGCTAAGCACTATGTCCATCTCTTTGGTCAGATTTTCAGTAGGAACCATCTGATTGGTCACTGGGTAACCAATGGATTGGTTGGCCTTAGATCAGGTGACCAGCCCTGCTCCAGTCAGCCATATTTGAGGGAGGGTAGCATGTGGTTTATAGAGGTGGTGTTTCCACTAACTTTAATTGGACAGGCGGTGATGTACATATCCTGTGACTGGTGCTATGGGAGCTAACAGAAATGTCAAACACAATGTCAAAAACAATGTCAAACACAAGTTATGACATTGAACCCTCCTTTAAAGAGCTTGCCATTTCATTGAGGCAGTAATGCTCATAGGTGACATAGTAAAAGAATGATACAAGATTGTATTATTAAGGGAAAAATTCAAGGGCCAAAATATATATTACAGATGTACTTAAAATATGGAAGTTCCTAACATTATAAATTCTGGTCCCCAAAGTCAATTAAAATAATGATTCTGTGCTTTCTGTGATGTCCTAAGCTGTTTAAAAACAGAAAACAAGTATGTTCAAGTTTAGAGTCATAATATCAGAATCCTCAGAGAATAGTGATGGAGTTTTTTATAAATCAGAAATTGCCTAAATATTTTCTCAGAGAGAAGTCACAAATCTGTTTTCCTATTCAACATTTTAAAATTACATCCAATGTATTTTATAGTAACACATAATTTGTCCAGTAGAGGCAGAGAAATTGAACTTGGGTCCAATGCAATAAGCCCCAAAATACATTCACAGCTTTATTTGGAAGAAGCTGAGCAGCGAGAAGCATTGTTTGCAGGCATTTTGAAGTAACCCAGCTCTGAGCTAGGGTTCGGTAGAAAGCACAAATCTGCCATCAGAACCCAGAACTAAAAAAACAAATGTTGCCAGTGCAGTTGGAGGTTTACTAAATAATTCATGGGAATTGCACTGCTTTGAGGACTAGTTGGGTTTTTTATAGGCAAACTGATTTTACAAGTTAAGGGTCAGAGTGAAGGATACTAGCAAACACATTGGTTTTGAAAAGATAAGCGCATTGTGGAAAGAAAAAAACACTCAAGATGCAGATAAATAAGAGAACTATGAGAAGCTTGTGTGGGAAATTAGCTGAAATGCAAACATAATTCTGTGACAACCATGAGAGAGAACAGTAGACAGAAAGTGCCCCTGAAGAGAGGCTTGTCAATATGGAATCCAATTAAGGTCCTGTGGAAGTAAAAAAATAAATTAAAACACACATCTTGCTGCCATCAGCCACTAAAGTCAAGGCTACTGTGAAGAGAGAGAAAGGAACATTCCCTGCGAGGAAATGATGTCTAAGTGACATTCCATGATGCTTTGGATAATTGAATGAGTTAATATGGAAGCCCAACTTCAACAACTGGTGTGTCGTTAAGCATGTAATTTGACCTCTGCATTGAAAGGGGAGTCAAATGTTGGATCTAAATAAGCACTTGGGATTTTGAAAAGAAAAGAGTTTCTCATAGACTACAGTGTCCATCAACAACACCTGCACTTCTCAGGAATACAGATGGGTTAAAGGAAGACAATAAATGGGACTGCTTTGGAAGTCACAAGACATTATCATTCCTGGGGCATCTTTTGAACACCTACTGAGGTCCTAATTTGTGTAAAGGAGAAGTCCTGTTTCTGCTGCCTGGGTGTTTAGAAGGCATGTGCAGAAACAGCCCCACAAAAGGGAAGTTCTCGTGCTTGCCTTCTGTCCATTGTCTGGACGCCTTGAGAAGGCATTCTGTCACATTTGTCTCTGACCTTCCAACCAGCTGCTTTTTGTGTCCCTAAACTGCAGATCGAGGTAGGGATTAACCTGTTGACTGATGTCTGATGTGTTCAGTGTTCCAGTAGCTGTGCTGGTGGGTCCCAGAGGCGTGTGGTTGTGTGTCAGGATGAAAACGGATACACCGCAAATGACTGCATGGAGAGAATAAAACCCGATGAGCAAAGAGCCTGTGAATCTGGCCCTTGTCCTCAATGGGCTTACGGCAACTGGGGAGAGGTGAGAGAGAGCCATCCGTTTGTATGTCCTTCGGAAAAAACACAGAGCGATTTTGCTGACCAAACTGCTGCCATTCATAGTTTATTTTAAGGATGAAGAACGAGTTCTAGTGAAAGCTTCTTGATTTGGGATTAACCAGGAGACCTGTCTTAATTCTGAACCATTTTAAGAGTGCATGTATTACCAATTAGAAACAGTTTTTAAATACATAGGAGAGGAAAATTAGCAAAGCATGCAGATAAATGCTAGGTTAAATTGTGGGTTAATCTCTGTTGATTAAAATATGGACACTTTCAAGGTAATGGGAAATATGTGTTAAATTGGTCCGTAACAGTGTTACCATCTTTTTTCATAGCTTTGGGCTGTTTGTGGTGCAGTCTTGCTCCCGTGGCATCTTTAAAATCCTTGATGAAACCAAATCCTAGTATTTCAAATCCTTGATGAAACCAGAATGAATAGGTGCTGTTTTTCCCATCAGAGATGATGCATTTTAATGATGGAAGAGAATAATTAGCTGTATAATATCAAATAATAAAATTCTTCAGCTGTTACCTTTTAAGAGTGGCATCCTCTGACCAATGAGGGGCAGTAGAGTGTTGGGAGCAGACAAAACTGGATTCTACTCCCAGCCGTGACTCTCATAAGCTTTGTGGCCTTAGCAAATTATATAACTTTGCCAATATTTATAGCACCGTCTATAAATGGGAATAATAATGGCACCAATTCATGACTACTGTATGAGATAGTGTGTCAAATACGTAGCACATGGTCTTCAATCAGAGTTAAGTGCTATTAGAATAATGATAATCATTATCTTCTCTACTATTACTGTTTATCGTTAGTATTATTATTATCAAATAGGGTTTTCAGCCGCTCTTCTGTGTAGGGCTTAGATGCTTATTATTTTGTGTGTAATTAACCAAGAACGTGTCTCTCTACTCTTGAGTCCACAGGGAGAGCACATAGTCAGAGCTTGTTGCATTGGTCTGTCTTGACTGTAAAATTTATAAAGTAAAACATGAGGATTAACATCTTGGAGACCCCAGTGCCAAGAGGGGAAAAAGACAAATGAGATGGGTGGGCACCGTAGTCCAAACTCCTGGCTAACTGAAATCCCATGTCCACTTTCACATAACCTGGTAATCATAGGAAGTCATAACAGAGTGTTCTGTTGACTTTGCTTGACAGTACGTCATTCTGGAGGGCTTTGATGAAAGGCAGGAAGAGGGAGTCGGGCTTCAAGACTCATGTATTACGGGTTTCCCAAAACTCCTCACAGAGTTCTGTCCTGTGGGGCCCGTGATTAAGCTTCTGTAATTGGACCGGAGCCAGGAGAGTACACGCATTCACTGGGACGCTTGCTGTCAGCACAGACCAGATCATTCCAAATTCTGTGGGAGATCTGGCCTTGACACAGCAGGAGAGCCAAATGTCAGTGTTCCTGGATGTGAGCACAGCAGCACTGTCCAAGAAATACAACTTGTTCCTGCCTCAGAGGTTTGGGTCTAGCCAGAGTCAGAGCTTTATCCAACATTCCCGCCACGTTGTTTATTCATCCCCGGGAAAGTCATCGTTATCCCGAGATTCAGAGACAGCATAAAATACCGTAACGTCATAAAGGTCTCTGGAGATTGGAGTCACAGAAGAGCCAAAAGTTGCTTACAGCTTCTTAGAAGTTGCCAGAAAATAAACCCAACTAAGTCATTATATCCTTTATTTGGTGTACTGGGTGGTGTACGGAATTTTATTTTTTTGATTTTTGGTTTCATAACCATCAAAGAAACGGCTGCAATCTTATCTAGTCACTTGCTATTGCATTGACCTTGATCAAGTTAATTAACTGCTTTCAAGCTCATTTGTCCCATTTGTAAAAATGGAGCACATAATTAGAGTCTCCTCTTGATGAGAGACTACCTGTTAAAAGCACTTAGTACAGGTAATGAGGACACACTCAATAAACAGTGTCTACCATTAAGGTAGACAGTTCCAGTCTGTCGTATATAACTATGTTGGTAATTCAGCTTGGGTCCACCTAGAGACTTCCCTTGCCCAATGCCGTGATAGAATTTGGTGAAGAAATGGTTCTTACGGGAAAGAAGATACAATTTGTCATTGGCTGTTCAGAGTGACTACAGCTTTGCTTTCTCTTCTTCCAGTGCACTAAGCTATGTGGTGGAGGCTTGCGGACAAGACTGGTGGTCTGTCAGCGGCCCAGCGGTGAACGGTTTCCGGATTTGAGCTGTGAAATCCTTGATAAGCCTCCCGATCGTGAGCAGTGTAACACACATGCTTGTCCTCAAGACGCTGCATGGAATACTGGCCCTTGGAGTTCGGTACGGCCCTAACTATTAATGTTTGTTAACCAAACTATCTTAACTAACAGACCCAATTCCAGGGTATTCTGGGGCACTCCTCGGCGACACACAGTTGTCCTGCTCACAAGGGCATCCCTGAAACTGGGCTGTGGTCTATGATTTCCTTCATACTGACACACAACAGAATTAATGTCTTGTGATTTTGCCAAAGTGACTTTACAGAAATACGTGTACCTCATATAGGCCTGGGGCCAATGTCAAGAAGTAGCTTCTGGTTTTTTTGTTTGTTTGTTTTGTTTTTTTTTAGAAAAGCAAGACTGTCTATATAGATATTTTAAAGAAATGAAATAAGTTCATGTAGTTATTAAGCTCCAAAGTGATTTCAGCAGACAACTCAATAGCAAACATTCTTTCCTTTCCTAAACTATGGGAGTTTTGACTTTTGGGGGAAGATACCTGCATATTGAGGCCAAAGCAATTTTTTTCTTCCATGACTGTAATTTGCCTCTATGTGACTCGGGTACAAACTCAACTCAGTGACCACAAAGGCTGTGCCCACAAAATAGACTGAAATCATTGTGAAAATGCAATAGACCAACAACACTGGACTCCGTGACTTGGAGCCTTTCGAGGTATACGAAATATTCTCTCTCTTTCCCCAAGACACAAAGCCCATCGCTTGAGACAATTTTTTTGCTTCGGTCCTAGGCTTCCCTTGCTATCTGCTTAGCTGACATCGCGAGACAGGTTTGCCACTGTAAATACTATGCAAACTTCTGGGGCAGCTCTTGGCAAACAGAAAGTCGGCTATGTCAAAACAGTGCTTTGGCTAAGTTGTGTTATAATCCGTGGAGCCGTTAGGGCTGGTTCATGTAAATAGAGTAAATGTTTCTGTAAATACATTAATTGCACTGAATCTGAATTTGGTAGTATATGAAGTCATATCCGCAAGCCTTTTTTATTCTATAGGGTTTGGAGGAAAAGTCCTGACCATTCCTGAAACCAGATAAAGAACAGATTAACTGAAGTGAAATGACTCATACCTGTTGATGCTTCTAAGAACCAAGGGTTTCGGGTCTGAGATTGTGTCTGCAGGTAGAACCTAGCTCTATAACCGCTGTACTTAGTCTTAAGTAGAAAGCTAGAGAAATGTAGAGTATCATCTCTCCTGGTACTAGTTAGCTGGGCTGTCGGGCTTTCATTCAAGAGCATAAGAAATGGCACGCGGAGTCAGATATATATTCAACCGAAACATTTTGTTTGCAGTCCTGGCACCTCCCAGAGCGAACATTGTGAAAAAGATCAGAAAGGACCATGGAATGTCAGGAACATCCCCCAGCACTCCCCGCTTCCCTCAGTCACCTATGACAGATTATTTGTCATGAAATTGTCCCTCTTGAGCCCGTGATATTTTTACCTTGTTCGCTTGGCCAACAGCAACACCACATCAGAGTTGTGTCTCAGAAACTACTAGCCCTCTAAAAAGTTGTTTTTCTTTAATTTTGACCCAAAAATACCCCCTACCCTTCAGAGGGTGTATGTGTGTGTGTGTGTGTGTGTGTGTGTATAATCATAAAATATTATATACTGTATGCATATATGTGTATGTATACACAGTATATACAATGTATAATGTATATTATATTGGTTTCCATAGCATTCTCGTCCTTGAATGCTTTCTAAATACCCCTCAAATTTTTTTACACAGGATCACCACCCTCTCCCACAGATGTTTTAAGAGCTTAAATGCTTACATCTTAAAATATGACCTGCTAATTTAACTGAAAACATTAAGATTTTTATTGTAGTTGTTCTTCTTAGGCCTGCACACAGTTTTCTGAAACACACACACAGAAAAAGAGAGGGAAAGAGATGCTAATGCTCTGTTATACACAGAAGAGAATATATGGATTTTGAAACTACTTTTGCCGCCGGTATGATTTTCATGCTTCCTTTGTAAAGCGATCGTTATTCGAGTATATATTTAAATGCCTCTGCAGTCTAGGAGCAAGGCCACCTGTGCAAGGCTTCTCATTGTGATTTTTAAAAAATGAAATCAAAAGCATTTTATTTAAGTAGATACATCTGTAATATATTACTTAAATATGTGTGTGTGAGGGCAGTCTTTCAGGTTCTTACTGTAGGACTTTGATTTTACTTTTATGTTGATTTTTGTGGATGCTTTGGTACAATTTCTGAGCAATTCTAAATTTAAGCATACCTCAGTGAATCGTGTTAATAGCCATAAAGCCACTCCTATGGTGCTTCATCATTGTAACTGACAGTGAAATTAACAACAACAAAAAGTATACTTGAGGTGCTAAGGCGTTGCTTTCTCTTGAAAGCCGACTCGATTTATTAGAGACCAAGGGTAGCAAATAGTCCTTCAGTAGGGTTGCTTTCTCTCCCCACATTTTCACCCACTAGAGATAGTGTTCAGAAGCAACTTGCTGCTGTGCAAATAGGCCTTTTCCAAGGTCAAAAGGGAGATGGCCTCATTCAACAACTGTTACGGTATTTAGGGTTTTTAGGTATTTAGGTATTTAGGAAAGAAACCCACATCACTGTTAGCGTGGCTGCCAGAGTCTCTAAAACGAAGCTTTGGTGAACATCAGGTTCAAGTGCCCGTTTTAGACCCTTAGTTCTGGCTCTTGTCCTTGCAGATTTAGAATCATGATGGTGAAAAACAGCCTCCAAAAATCCAGCCTTTTCTGTCCTATTTTGAATGTGTCCTTGCACTCTTACTTGGTAACGTGCTGATTTCAAAATAAGGTTCTTACCCTGATATGCCTTTCAGTCGGCTCCTGCAGTCAGGCCTGGGAGCGGAGTTCTGGGAGCAGACTGAGGAGGGAATGCACAGGTCCCATCACTAGAGAACACATTGGAAAGAGTGCTCTGTGCTGTCAAACTGCAGCACAAAGCAGGTTAAAAATCCGCAACATCGCCAGTAAGCAGAGCCATCAAGATAAGGAAAGTAACGGAGCTTGCAGGTGATGTCACCTCTCCAAGCTGGTCCTGTAGCATTCCTTTCTGCCATGCCCCATGTACCTGCTTGCTGGTCATCTTGGAGACCGTGGTTCTCCTTAGGAGAAACTGCTTGTTGGGGTTTTTCATGACAAAGCTGAAAGCGTTCTCTGAGCCTTGCTTTAGGTGCTTTGGAATAATGCTTGTCGACCCAAATAATGAGAATTTATGAGCTCACGAAGGAACTGTGCTTTTGTTTCTGCCTGGCCAACTTATGAATTTGTGTCTACCTCATTTTCCATATTAAAGTTTGCAGCTTCCTTAGGTAGGAAGAGAAAATGTCTGACAACAGTATTTTATCACCTCACTGCATCTATCTCTAGCAAAAATAAAGACTGTAAATATCACTACCATACTTTCTGAATACAGTTTTGAGCAGCCAAGCCTAGTATTATCTGAATATTTTGAGCAGTACAGATTTCTATGTGTTTATATAATAAAGCATATTTATTTTTTCCATGTTATTTAATTTTATATACAATGTTTAAAAAATCAGTGTTTATCAGCAAACTGTAAAGGCAAATAGGCTATGTGAATTAGAAATGCATGTGTATGTTTCTTTTGGTTTTAAAAGATACATTTTAATTTTGTAAATCCCCTCCAACTTGTACTGTCCCTCTCCCAAATCTGAGTGGCCAATTGGGGCAAGCTTTATGTAATTGGGTAGTTTAAAATGTGTATTTTAAAGGGATACTTAAAAAAAAAATTCTGAATTGGAAATGATGGCTTAGTGATATAAACAAAAATATACAAGGCTTAACGTTTTGTTGGGTTTTTTTCTTTTCTAATACTGTTGTCCTGATTCACTGAGTCTCAACTATGAAATATGAATGCTCCATTTATTGAATTTGTAGATAATGATAAAACATAGCCAGAAGACAAAACAAATGATTAAAAGAAATGGTTCTAAATATGTAAGAAGAGCTAGGGACAGGAAAACACTAACCTAATATGCACAAATTTGACCACACCTTATTCTTTGTGTTCAGATAACCATAAAAGACTTCAATGTTTGTCAGTTTTGTTATTTGTTCACCTGCAATACGTTTCAGAAAGAATTTCTTATTAAAGAAAAATAAAATATGATTGCAGCAAACTTGGAAGTTTTAAGAGAGCCTGCAGTTTTGAAAAAAGTGTACTTCATAAAGATGACCCCTGATGCCTATTGGTTCCATGTGCCCCTGCTGAGCCTCTGTTTGACATGTGGTTTAGTATGGTAATTGAGGTTTGAAAGGACCGAAATCAGGGAGTCCTTATGTGAGTTTGAGGTTTATATAAGGTGTGAAATAAGATAACTCCTCCAAAGCAGATGATGATAGCTAACTTTTACAGAGTATTTACTACGTACCAAGCCAAGTTAAGCAAGCACACATCATATTTAGCCCCCATGTTACCCCATGAGGGTGGTGCTTTTATGAATCCATTTGACTATGTGATCATCTACTGTAATAAAATGTCAGTGTCAGTATACTGACTGTATTAATCCTGCTTCATGTGATAGAAACAGCCATATTCAGAATGATTTTTTAAACTCCTGTTGATATTCAATAAAGGGTATACCTAAAACTCAGACTTCATCAACCTCAACATTATTTAGCTAATATTGATATTGTCTGTTTGACTCCAGCCACAGAAATTCCAAATTTATTTCTGTATTGGTAAATTCTCATAACCAGTGATTATAAACACTTCAAACAACTGGTTATGTTTTTGGGAATGGCAAAACATCTCTGTTTCATTTTAATGTTATCACATTAGCCAGATTAGGAGGAGGATATAAAGATTTTGACCATAAGGAATATCACATTAAATGCATATGCATTTTTTATAAACAAGAGATTTTACTAATGAAGACACATCTTAAGTATACTGCTGGTGCCTTTTAAAAAAAGAAATAAGAAATACATTATTTGGCTCTATCAATATGGAGTATTAAAAATAAGACAGTTTTGTTTTTTTTTTTTAATCAAAACAAGCAAAACACTGGCCTGCAT